AAAATTGTAGCCAGAGCCCTAAATGTTGTGCTGCTTTCTGAGAAAGAACAAATTTCTTGTTTTTAATTTTAATAATTTTTGAATGCAGTCATGTTTATTATTGGGGTGGGTCTTTCAGATTCATATATTTCATCGACATTGAATTTTGTTTCTATTTTTCATGAATTTTTTTTATTTATTTTGGTGGGAATTGACACATAAATTGAAAATTGTAAAATAAAAAAAAATTCATTTCAGGAATATTGAGGAGCTACAAGAACAGAATCAGCAATTATTGACTGTTGTCAGAGAGCTGAGCAGTAAGAGAGAACAAGAAGAGAAAGCTACGAGAGATGAAGAGTATGTATACTCAATGATTACCGTTAAAATCCTATTATAAACCGCATACCTAATGGTAACCGCACCCCCGATTTCGGCTTCAGTGTTAAAGAGTTCTCAACAAAAATTGAAAACATGAAAAGTACCTATTAGTAACCGCACCCCCAATTCAACAAGACCGTGACCGACATTGTTTCAACGAGCTGGTACATTGTTCCTAATCCTATTCATTTGTTTCGACAACGTGCCTAAAAATATGAAACTGCTTTTGTCTTGTGAGAACTTTTGTCAATACTCCTTATGAATACGTCCGTGTGTCGCAAGTTTTCGACAATGAGCTGTTCTCACCGAAAAACTGTTAAATTCTTTTTCAATGCTCAGTTTATCTTTCGAAAACAACTAATTTCTTGATTTAAAAAAAAAGTCATGTCGTTTTCCCATGGAAATCAAAGCCAAAAGATCGCACTACATTATCGGTAAATCTCTTCCGGGTTTCGTTCACCATGAAGTCGGTGACCTGTCATTAACATATTTAAATGAACTAAGGTAATTTGAACACGTGGGCACCATCCAGCATTTTGATTGGTTAATTAGCGACTTGACCTACCCGGTCAAGTAATGTCTCGTGTGCATTCAAACTACATGGCGGATGTCGCATCGATCGTTTACATGTGACCGAAATAATTCGCTTACGGTGAAACTAAGTTGAATTTTACTTGCATTTGATAACAATTCAACGAATTTATTTTTCGTGCGTTGTTATAATCACTACTGAGTAATAATCAACAATTTCAACAGTTCGAAAACAAGTAAGTTATTCACTTGTGAGCCGAAGCATGGCCGGATTGCGTTACCGTGGCCATGGTACCGTACTTTTTTAGTGCCGTACCATGATCATTTTCTACTATAAAGCAATGCATTAATGTTTGTTTTTATTTGGAACTCCTGTCAGAATATACTTTCCGTTACGAAGAAAATGAAAAAAATGCATATTACATTAAATAGTATTATTTATTTTTTTTTCATGTGAACAGTTTTTTTGTGACGTGAGGCTTATCACTCTTCCCGGACATCTAAATTGGAGTTACGCTTATATTCAAAAGATTGTACGGTGCATTGTTTGTTTTGTGCGAGTGATGTGGGGGGAAAAAATGACCACGCCCATTTAGTGATTTCAATATGTCCCTAATATAAACCGCACCCCGAACTTGAGCTGTTGATCCCAATTTTTTATTTGATACATTGTAATATAAACCACGGTTTATAATAGTATTTTAACGGTAGTGGATATACTTCTTGCATTGTCACATGTACCATCATTTTATACTCGACCAGCTTGTATGTGTGAATTTAGTTGTGGATGTCTACTCCATAATTGTGTATGTCACCTGGTTTGTGAAGTGCGGGATATAGTTTTAAAAAACTCCTTCCTTCCTCTTAGATTCAAGACTTCACTCCTCTGCTAAATTTGCAATGAATAGTTAATTTACAATTTACCGAAAAATGCTGTTTACAATTTACATGTGTATAATTTGCATATGAATGCAACTGTGGAGGTTTATAATTTGCTTCTGAATGGTGGAAACCCTGCCCCTTCCCCTGCTCTGGCATCTTAATTTGCATATTTCAATGTATTATATTCATACATTCATATAAATATTAAGAAAATGATTTTCCAATGATAAAATGATTTTCAGAAATTAGTCTGAACAATGTTTCCTTGTGTACATATCTCCTCAATGTCTTATTGCAGAGAAAATTACTACCTGCTAAAGTTGATTGCATTTATGAATTTTATGTTGCAGGATGTGATGAGGTTGTATTAGTTGGTTCTCAAACAATTGGATCACCAAACTATGGAATTGGAAATTATCCTCCAAACCAGGACTGTATTTATACCATCACAAACAATCAAGCATGTGTCAGGTTGTTGTTTTTGAACTTTGACCTGGAGTCTGGCACAACCGTGGATGTGTGTGATAGAGATTACCTCCGGGTAAGAAACAGTTTTTTTTTCTTTTTTCGGCATCCATTTTTAGAAAATTACACTACATTAATCCAAATTTTGGAAACAGATTCAAAATCTAAGGGCATGATTTGCAGTTTTTCCCATATTTTTCTTGTTTCTTCAACCCATGCTAGGTTTTTAAGTCAACCAAAATTAAAAATTTATCTTCCTTCTGTCTTGGTGTT